CATTTCGTTAAAACACGAGCAGTGATCGGATAACAAACAATAAGCTGGCGCAGAGACACGAGTTGGTCCGCTACAGCATGACTGAGGAACACTTTTGTAAGTACTCCAATATACCACAAATAGACTACAGGTCCAACGATTTTTGCAGGGAAACAGTGAAAATAGAATAAAAACATAATAATACAATTTTTAATAAAACAGCTTTAACTTTTGGATACACTACGCAAATAATCATAAGCAATCGCAATTTCATGCTTATCCAACGCCCATCAGATGGCATAACACAAAATAGATGGTATGTTATTTTATTGTCTTCTGGTCACCCCAACTCTGCAGCTGTCAGGCTGCATTTGTTTACGTCCACTTTTGGCGTTTGTGATTTGTTGGCTTTTTGCGGCATTTGCATTTGTAAAAATCTGGGCAATTTCCTTTTGTTTCGTGCACCTTTCGGTCTATTAAGGATGAGATAGAAATCGCATAAAGTTTAATAAGTTTTAAAATACTTTAGCGTTGCAAATACCACAGCGGTATGGCATTTTTAGAAGACTGTATAATCGTGTTCGTGTCACAGGTTGGTGCCTTGCTATACAGGACATCAATTTTCTTTTGACTTCTTTTAATATTTTCTCTAGACCCTGTTCTTCAGTGGAGGCTGGCTATTTTTTATGAAACAATTATTCAAGAACTATGAGATACGACATATTTCCGTGCAGCTCATATTCTCGGTGTGCTTTGCACTCTCTCTCACCATGTTTGAGCTAATAATCTTCGAGATTTTAGGAGTGTTGGAGTCTAGTTCGCGATATTTCCATTGGAGGCTCGGCTTAACCTTACTACTACTGATGGTGATTGCCGTCATACCACTATACATTTTATATTCCGTCATACATAGCATATCATTTGGTAAGGCATTCGCATTTTAACATTATAAAATATTTCACAAGCGTCCCTTTAGTATCTGACAAATGGGTGCGCATCATTACCGTATTGTGCTGGTTTGTGTTCCTGTACGGTCTTTGGAAAATAGGCGATCCTTTTCCGTTACTAAGCGTTTCACATGGGATATTCACCATCGAACAAGGCGTATCGCGTATTGGTGTAATTGGTGTGACCGTAATGGCTGTGCTGTCTGGGTTTGGTGCCGTTAACTGTCCATACCAAAGCATGACTTATTTTATAAAGTAAGCTTTTATGCATTTTTATTTTTTTGAATAATACGATTTTATGATATTTTTCAAATATTTTGTTTACAGGCCGGTATCCCAAAGTGATATCTTAAATTTGGAGCGTAGGCTAATGCTTACAGTCGATATGATAGTTGCGAAAAAGAAGCGTATTGCATTAGAAGAACATCGTCGTAAGAAGGAAAATAATACGAGGAAAGGATTGTGGAATATTCTAAGTTCGGCTGTCAACCGTCTGGACAGCAGTGGACAAGGTTTGTTTCAATTCAATCAATTTATTTTTATCAGCAGTAAAATTATTTTTTTTTAGATATTGGTCAACTGCGATTAGAAATATACGGCTTGGAGGAATTAATGCGACAACTTTTCTTGGAAATTAATTCAATGAAAAACATGCAAGAACGACAGAAGTGGTCACAGACATTGCAGGGAAAATATTTTAACGTGTTGGGTCATTTTTTCAGCATTTACTGTCTTTGGAAGATATTTATTGTAAGCAAACTTTCATATACATACTTATCTGTAAACCTCTCATAGTTAATCGAAGCTTCATTTACTTTGCAGTGCACAGTCAATATAATATTTGATCGCGTCGGTCGCAAAGACCCAGTTACACGTGGTCTTGAGATCGCCGTACACTGGTGTGGTTTCGATATTGATCTTGTCTTTTGGAATCAGCATATATCCTTTTTGCTGGTGGGCTGCATTGTTGTGACGTCCATTCGGGGTTTACTACTAACGCTAACGAAGGTTATACACAGAATTTTTACTTTTGAAAATTTTGCTCTAAACGTATTTGTCTGACTTTTAATTACAGTTCTTCTATAGAATATCTTCCAGCAAATCCTCGAATATAATTGTTCTTATTATGGCTCAAATAATGGGCATGTATTTCTGCTCATCAGTGCTGCTGATGCGTATGAATTTACCTGCTGAGTATCGTGTGATAATTACTGAGGTACTGGGGAGCCTGCATTTCAACTTCTATCATCGTTGGTTCGATGTTATATTCCTAGTGAGCGCATTGAGCACCATATTGGTTTTATATCTCTCCCAAAAACCTAAATATGATTCCAGCATAGATTAGTAGCGATAAATTGAACTAATCGCTTGCTGAAAGTTTTTATATTTGCAATTTGTAAAAAAATACAAAGATTGTAATTAAGGTATGTAGGTATGCTACCGCAAAGGATGTGTACTTGTATTTAGTAAACCAAAAATACTTCTATAACTGTAACATTGTTAAGCCTAGCATATTTATCTGAATTTGAAAGAACTGTGAACAATTTTATGTCTGCATGTAATGTAAAGATTTTTCGCCTATTCCGCAACGCACAAAATTCAGCGGGTCATTTAAAAAAAAAGAGTATTTCACAACTGCTAAAACCTATTGCAATAAAATATTCCATTATTTTAAAGCAATCATTATTTATTCCATGATAATAATACTATAATGTTTCTATTATGATCTATGCAAAGTTAAATATGAAAACGAAAGTAATAAACTTTATATGTTATGTATACGTAATTCTAATAATCTCTAATTAAAGCCACAGATTTGGACTAGGCCTATTTAATATTCAGTTTATGGGCATTTATTTTTGGGTACATTAGAGTATGATTTATTTTGGAACGAATTTCGGTCATCCCTTGACAAACTTGGCTTCGTTCCAGAACGGAAAATGACGCTAATAACAGGTCTATTCTGCGCTGGTAGTAAAAATTTTGTTACCGGTAATTAAAGTTTCTTTCAATTTTTAAACCCTTTTCGCATTCTGTGTACTCTTGTAACCGGTAAATTTTGTTACCATCTCATAAGCTGGTAACAAATTGAATTGCTGAATATTTATTTTTATTTTATTTTATTTTTTTTTAACGCTAAGTTTCCATCGCCAAAATTCTCTAAATGAAAATCAGTGGGACCTAAAAGCACGCAACATGGAAAAGTAACAGATGCAATGTGTAATCAACCAAAGCTGGCAGTATAATGAGCATGTAAAGCTGAAATTAGTCAAGAACGTAAACCTACCGGTACGTAAACCCGAGTCAGCTGACACGATCTGTCTTACCAAAGCGCCATGTAAATGAAAACTCAACACCGCAGAATTTTTCTGTAGTTGTAGCCCGTAGCGCAGAAATCTGCGGAATTTAGATTTTTCCGTGTCAGCTGATTTCTCCTTCTTTAGATGGTTGCCACTTCGTCAGTTTTACAGATGGTAAATAAGTTATAAGTTCTTATTCAAAATATGTTTAAAATATTTGAAATTTACTATTGAATAAGGTTTTTGTTGAAAACTAAGTAGTTTATATTTAGCTAAAATCTATTATAACTCGAAAAATTGTAGTTGAAAGGGTAAGTTTATGAAAAGGCATTGATGAGTGGCAACAGTGTAATAAGCAACACTGAGGGCTCCAGTAATCGACAAAATTCTGCGTATACAGACTGCGTTTAAGTATATGTTCTGCGTTCTCGACTAATTTCAGCTTAACTAGATGTTGCATGTTGTTAGGCGCTGCTGCCATTCTTTTGGAGATTTTTTGTGATCAAAATTAGCGATAGCGAATGCTGGAATTCGGCTGTGGTAACATTTTTTGGTAATAAAATTTCCGGTTACAAAATCTTCGGTAACGTGCAGAATAGACCTATAAAGATAACACAACACCGAAACCGGTTTGTCACATATACATACGAATATGGATAGATAAAGAAGATGTGGATGACACAAGGAGTACATACCAACGGTAAATTTTGTTTTTGTACGATTGCTACAACCTGTAGTTGTTGAATCATGCGTCAAAAGCTGGATTTTTTTTTTTTGAAAAAATTGGTACAACAAAAAATACGAAACACGTTTTCTGTCAGATAGCTAGCATGGCGGATAAGAAGAAGAAGTGAAACTACCTTCTAAAAATTATTGTATCATGGTCGGGTGGTTAGCGAATTGTGAGCATGCGTATCACGGTGAAAGTACCCGCGATTCGCAGACCTGTGCCGTGTATTTGGCATATAATGTTCTCATTGAAGTGGGCTGCTAACATTTCTGCTCATTCATTTCAGTGCAATCCACACATGGCATATTTCGCTGTCACAAAATCAGTTGGATTTGTATTCAATTTGCGCTTGTTTTTACCTGAGTTGAATCTTGTTTGTGTTTGTTTTTCTGTTACTAATTTTGTTAAAAAACTTGCCATTTTCAGTATTAATTTGTATTTTTAAATTAACATTTAAAATTAGAATATGAGTGACTTAATAACATTCGAAAGTCGGCGTTTGAATGCCTCAAAGGAACGTGCAGAAGTTGATATTGGAAGCGCCGCTGCATCCGTTTGTCTGCAATCCGAGGTATCGTCCTTGCACGAGATCAGTGTTATAGAAAATATGACGTCGTTTCTTTTGGAGCATGGTGGAGCCGATGTAGATTCCAAAGTGCTGCGTACTATAGCAGAGGCACTTTCCAAGCGAGTCAATGAGTAAGTAGTTACTGCAGTTTTCTTTATGTCGAACGCTGGCTTTAATTTACTCTTACCTGTTAATAATTTATGGGATATCAATAGGACTAATATGAATTTCACAAGCGTCTACGGCATTTTAAGTAAGGGTATTTGCGGCAGGTCAACCATACAATTTTAATATGAAATCGCCTTCCAAGGCATTTGGTGACTGTGATCGCTGTATGTACATAGATACGTATGTATGCATCAATGTTTTTTTTGGTTCGCCGTTTTGCAGCCAGTGTGATATCGCTTCTTGTAATAATAGCGCATCGTATCATAACATCACATCATACCGTAAAATCGCATAAGTGATCAGAAAATTGTCACAACATTGTAAGGTAAAATTTATTTTGGTCTAGTGCCAAGCTTGTATAGGTCCGAAACGTGGACTCATAAATCAAATTCACGGTACATTGTGCCTTCTGCATTTGATATGGCTATGCTATGTTAAATAACTTTCACAAAATACATTTATGTATAAATGTCTAGAGTATTTATTGAATTTTATGTTAAAACCAAAACTCGTTCATAATTTACTTCCAGAGGCTGCATGGATACACTCAAATTACATTTTAAGTCACTCGCTTTCTTTTCACATCTGCACACACTCGCACTCATTTATTTCCAAACATAACTGCTGTAATGAAAGAGCAAAGAAAAAACATTTGTAAAGACAATTTTTGTTAATTTTATTGGTTTCCTAACTGCATATTATAATGCAAAAATATCAACTGATTAAGGGCATCATCATCTGACAAAAGGCGGCATCTTTTGTCAGAAATAACATTTCCAGCAGAAGAAAAAACTTTCTGACGATGCGCTAGTTGAAGGAGGGGCTATTACTCTACGACTGAGTTTATGCAGCAGCGGCATTTCGCATTTGTGTACCTCCCACCAATTAATTATATCGAAGTTCGTATGAAAATATACCTCAATATTTTCATATCACCGCAGCTCTGCAGTAGCTTTATCAGTTCTGCTCACAAAGGTAGGTCGTTTAAGAAGACCTGAAAACAGCTCAAAGTTGTCCGTTGTACTGTCAGAATTCTCAGTTAACGTTCTCATAATTTGTAAACTTTTTCTTTTGTGTACCTTTGCTCAGATTCGGTAAAGTTCTTGAGCTCTTTTGCTAGCGGGTATAAAAAAGCACAATTTTGTGCAAATCTGTTAGTTTTCAACAGCAACTGTTTTTAAATAATAAAGCAACTTATTTTTCAAGTCCCTTATAAAGCCGATGTCTTCTGAGGTAGCATTGCATTTCTTTGTAGACTAATTATATAAATGTGCGTCAGGTGCATAACTAAATAATTTAGTAAAACTAATATATTAAAAAAAAAAATACTTCATCAATATGAATTTTTTTCAAAATTGTCGTATTCTCTATTAATTGTTTGAAGTCAATGAGTGTCATTCGATTGCTCGACTTGCTTTTCATAACAGCATTTTTCACTCGCTTGACTTGATTTGGAAAGAGTATATCAATGCCATATTTGAAATCAAATGAGCACACTGCAGCTAAACATTTATTTCAAAACTAACTATGAATCTCACTGTTTGTACGGTGTTTCTCACTAACCTTATATAGTTCACAGCAATGAGTTCATACTGTTTAGATGGAAGTGAGTAAACTCATGCTGTTGTCTGTTTACTTCAAATTCCAGTAATGATTTTGGGAAAATTCTCGTGCTTCCGTCGTAGCATAGACTGCTCAGTGTATTTTTATGTAGTACGTAATACTGATAATATTTGACAGAAATTGATGCGCACTAATTGATGTACATATCGTCGTTTAAAGTACAAAACACTGTATCAACAAAATGCAAAACCGCGTATGTGAGGTTGCATAAATTATTTTATAGAGAGTAAAAACAGTTTCAAAATGGTTCTCCTTCTTATAAAGCAATCCCATTTCTGGCTAGTATATTTCAGGACGAATGGACAAGGATTGAGCCAAGAGCTTGTGTGAGCAAATCCAATTTTTGGCAGCCAATGTCAGTTACGCGGTTTTGCAGAATGACGATACGCGGTTTTGTACTTTAAACGACGATATGTATGTATGTAGGTCACTTATGTATTACAACATCAGGAGTAGACCACTGGACTTAGCGCTAAACTTTTTCGATCAGTTTGTTAAACAAAAATGGCGATCTCCTTCACCCTTTAGTGATAAGTACCTACTCGACACTGGAAATGTTTCTCAGATAACTGAAATACGTAGTGAGTCGATCAGTTCATATAACAAGTTATCTATGTATCCAGTTGCATTCATTTGAATTTCCTCCCCTACGCCACAAAGCATAAACACTGTAATCCAGCATTTCAGTATTCCTTCGCTGAATTTACAACCCTCCTGGGCGAGCACGGCCGTTACATTATGTTTGTTTCACGTAGCTACGTACAGTGTTCATTGAACGCTCATTTACAAACACACCTACTCAATCGAGTGGAAGGTAAAATTTCCCTATAGGGAAAACGAAACTGTTTTACTTAAAATATAATATAATAAAAGAGTGGATCTGCTTCTGACGGGCATCACTTTTATTTTTTTACTGAACTATACATTTTTCTTAACGACTAATTAAGTTAAAACTAAAACTAAAACTAAAGATAACGGTTGATGGAAGGGAGCTCAGGTTGGAGGGTGAATGAAAAGAGTAAGAATGATGAATTATAAACTAAGAGAGTAATGAAGAGTAGGTGGGAGAAAGCGTGTTTATACATAACTATATGTATATTAAGTGGACTCAAGATTACTA